GTCACAAGTGGTTAACTCGAGCCCTCGGCAAATAACGGTGCAGGCAATGTGAATTACGGCGATCGGACACGTCGACTCTCTGAATTGCGAAGCTGGTGCGCGCAGGAGTGCGAATTGTGCAGAAGGTCACCCTAAGGCTCGGGAAGGTCCTATAGGAATCCATTTTGGGTTTCCTCATGTCGGTTTCATCCTTCTAAGTGTTAGAAGTCGATACCACACACGCGAAACTCCAAAAGAGGACGGAAATAGGTTGAACTAAAACGATGCGGGCACCACTTCCAAGGTTCTAAGATAGTCGCAGGAAGACCCCTAAGGCTAGATCCTAACTCCTACGAGGAATACTAGACCTCACGAAAATTGAGGTCAACAACCACCTTCTTCATTTTCTCTTAAAAAGTGATTTTTTCATGTCCTCTCTGTCTTCCTCTTTAAATTCTCCCGCCACAAAAAGACATCTTCTTCAGCTTGATGGTGTCGAGCTTCACTATTCTGTCATCGACCACCTCCTTGTATTCAAAGATCCACTTAATAATTTGCATCCACTCGAGGAAATCATCTGGATCCATTCTCTCCTCACTTTCACACCTAAGTCTTGATATCCTTCAACTGGCATATCATCTTTGTATCTTCCAACTGACATCTCATCTTTGTATCTTCCAACAGACACTTCATCTACCGGCCTCCTCTGATATTGTATCCCGAAGTGCCCTTGTCAATCCTCCTCTCCATTAAAATCATCCCTACGAAAGGGATTCAGATGGTATTTTTGCTCCCTCAATGGATTTCATTATCAAGGTCGACAGTGATCCCGCTCTAAGTCCTTTCCTCAATGACATCAAGCCGTTGTAGCACTTAACGGAGTAGCCATTGTATGTCATTAATGGTAAATTCTTGATCAAATTCCGGCAAGTTCCTCCTCGATTGTGGTGTGGTTAGGGCTTCGGTGTGGATAGGGGGAGGGAGGTGTGTATGGTGAAAAGAAATTTTTTGAGTGGAGATAGGATTAGGTAGTTATGGGATGCTAGGAAGCCGATAGATATTTACTTTTCTTATTGTTGTGTGGGTTAACTTCGGTATCATTTGGTATCAAAGCTAGTCTAACGCTAATTCTTATTGTTGTGTGGGTTAACTTCGGTATCATTTGGTATCAAAGCTAGTCTAACGCTAATTCTTATTGTTGTGTGGGTTAACTTCGGTATCATTTGGTATCAAAGCTAGCCTAACGCTAACTGAAATTCAAAGAGAAAGTCACAAAAAAATCATCTGATATAGGAAATAACAGCAAATACAGCACGCTAACTCCAGGTTGGATCAAACTGACGTGAAGGTAGTCGGTGAAGATCGGAAAGGTGGCAGGATGGTGGAGGAGGTGGTTGGCTGGCAGAAAATAATAATGCGACATTTCTTGGGTTTCGGACAATAAGTACACAACTGATATTGACATCATGCGGCTGTCTGGGATGATGGCACTATGGCAGTAAAGGGGGTGAGCTAGAACAGTGGCTAGGTGGCAAAGTAGTTTGTAATGGCTGGAATAGCAGCCAAGGGTGCAAAGGTACATTTTTGGTGGAAGGAATGGCAGTGAAGGGTCAAGGTAAATGGATATGGGCGGCTGGAACAACAGTCAAAGGGTGCGGAAGGCGGCTGGAATGCAAAAACTGCAGAAAATAGTAAAAAGATATTGTTCCAAATAATTGCAGCAGGTAAGGGGTAGTCGAGAGCGATGTGGGGGAATGCAAAACAGGATAGGGGAAGATAATCACCATCTTGGGGGAGAGATACACTCGGAGCACCACTCAATCCCTCGAATACAACCATCAAAAGGAGAAAAAGGACACATGCGACTGTACCAAAAAACTCAAGCAAAAAACTGACACTCTAATACAAAACATATATAGAAAATGACTAAAAAGAAATGAAAAATTATAGGAAAGAAATTATAAAAAGAAGGAAACGGGACTTTCAATCCGTCTCTTTTGATCGCGCAGGAGTCACAGCTCGCATCTCGCGTCTGAAACGAAAACACTCGCGTGACAATCAATCATAAACTCTGCACATGATCTATTACTGGATCAACCCAACCTTTCTCAGGTACATGCAATGGAATCTAAACGGTGCCAAGCATTGGAAGATATAAGAAGAAATATCAGACACTTTATGAGTACATTTAGTTGATAAATATTTCTGAAATTTATTTATAAGAATCTGAATTGAGTTCCTCCTAAATCTTATTCATGATTTGATGCTTAATTTTTTTCAAAAAAGAAAAAAATCAATTCATTTAGTGACTCGTTTTCTGGTTATACAAGTATGAAGAGCCAAAAATAAAAATCAAAAGAACAATGCTACCTATTATTACCCACCAACCAGTGCATTTAATTGTGTGAACTGCAATATCAGGCTCGAAATAGCCAATCTACTCGAATACAATTAACACTCTTGAGTACATTTCTAACGCACAACAATTATCAATTCATGAAGGACCCAAAGTTTAAATTTTCAATTCCAAAAACTAGTTGATAACTTTCATGCCCTCCAATAACTTGAGATATTTCATTGAGAGAGGGTTTATAAGAAATTTCAATTATAAAATCACGCCAAGGAAATCATCATCATCAACATTATTAGCCTAATCACAATTGTTATGGTAGTTTTATAAATCATTTATTCTCATTCATTCTAGCAATTATTGCATGATATGTTAGTCAATAAATCTTTTTGGCACAGTTTCTAAATAAAAGGAACAGTGGGACTTGAGACCATTTGTATACATCAAGTGAAACTTGACAAATAGGCCAACAAGTGCTAGAATTCGGATTTATCTGGATATAAATTACATTACCTGCTCAATTAGAGATTCACTCTCTAAAAGTGCATAGACGTTTGCTGCTTCTAAAGCTTGAAGTTCACGATTCAACCTTTCAGAAAATGCATCAGCTTCGCCAACACCCATAACATAGCTGCAGATGAATGATAATTGAAGAACCTCTAATCTAAAGATAATCTAAATTAAAGACAACAAAATAAATGAGGCGTAGCAATAAAAAAAGGCACAAAAAAAGCATATGCAAGGTTTGCCTCACCAGAATCATGATAAAGATCAAGACATTCCTTGGTTTGGCATGAGGTTAAGCAATTTACTTCCTTCAAAATTCAAAGCATAAAACTAAAGAGGCATTCAGCGGCGCATAATTGCATATAATTATTACTGCCAAGTTTTTCAATAGAAAAAAAAATCTGCTTTATCAAAAATACAAAGAGAGGGCATCTCAAAATCAACCATCGTGATAGAACCAAATCCTAATCAAATATCAAAGTTTAAATAATTAATTAAAAAAATCCTAATCAAAGATCAAGTACCCAATAAGTAAAGACAATAAAACCGAGCAGATTTAGTTCTTAGCGTTAACATGAAAATGATAAAATAAAATAAAAAAATGCGAGTGCAATAAGACCAACACTAACATAAAAGAAAAGAAGGTATCTATCTTACAATAAAACATCCCAATTACTAAAAAATATTTCATCAAAAAGTATGTTTAATAGAAAATCTACTCAATAAAACATGAAATAAGAAATAAACTAGAAGGAAAGAGGGATTTGAAGTTGTGAGCACCAAAAATTTACACTTCGCTCTCCAAAGAGATTTTAAAATCGTAGGTTAAATTTTGAGAAGCCGGATAAGATTTAAAAAAGACACTATCTAGAGATTTTGCCCGCATTTTGGAAGGAATTTATAATTCCGTTAAAAATCTCGCATAGCCACAAGCCACTATGATTAATCAATTCTCTAATAACGAGAGAGAACATTCGATTGCTAGAAGTAAAGAAGATAATTATGTTACAGTAAAAGATCTCAATTACTAAAAAATATTTCTCAAAAAGTATGTAAATAGGAAATCTACACAATGAAATATCAGATTAAAAAAAAATTAAAAAGAGCGAAATTTGAAGCTCTAAGCTCCAAAAATTTATGCTTTGCTCTCTAAAGAGGGTATAGTTTTAGGTAGAATTTTAAAAAGGCAAATTAGATTTAAATAAGACACTAACCTGAGCTTTGGCCCTCATTTTAAAGGGAATTTATTGATTCCTGCAAAAGCAAATCTATAAACATAGGATAACTAGGAGTGCGCAAAGAGATTGACCGACTCCTCAACTAGGACCCCACTTGGACCGGGTTCAGTCCAGGGCATTAGCAGTCACGATTTTTTATTTCACTTCCCTCTCGCTTGGGAGCTACAATGCCAACTCCCGTGTCAGTATCACGAGGTTGGAAGAGCTTCGACATCATTCATCGAAGCTTTTGTGTCCTCACAGTATGGAGTTAAGTCTGTCGTGTTGAAGGTAACTAAGATATTATAATCCACTGGTAAATCAATCTTGTAAAGGGCATCATTCCAAAACACATCCTTAATAGAATATATATTAATGGATAGTAATAGTCATTATTAATTCCTTTTTATTGTGAGTTATTAGCTTTGATTATTTATTATTTCTTTCCTTTTTCTATTGTATCATGTTTTTATTTTTTTCCTTACTAGTAGATTTTGTAATGGGTATATATACCACTCTTTATATCAATAAGAATTATATTGGTTCTATTCTAACTTGTTATCAGAGAAATGGTCCTAAAATTTTAATTAGAATATTTTTAAATTAAATATCGTCATAATTAAAAATTTTAAAATATGGAACTATTTTGTGATTTATGTCAAATATTGGCTAAGACCAAAAATCGGTCATATATCATTTTATTGATTGTCTGATTAGATTGATCTTGATATTATCAATTTCAAAAACTTAGCATTCATTTTTTGAGTTATGAATATTGTTAAGTCAATATTATAGAATTAAATGGAGGATAATTATTTTTTATTCAGTGATAGGCACTAGTCATAATTTAAGATATGTTTTCATAATGATTATAATAAAAGATATATATTTTTAGTTTATAATTACACTTAGTTATTTTTTTATTTATCATATTGAAGTTCTAATTCCACTACTGCTCAACACCCACCTCAGACATCAAATTACCATCACACATGGCCCACGCACACTAGTTTACAAGTTTTCAAAGACCTGGTTTTAAAATGATGAGCAACATAAGAAAAATGTGATCTCAATACCATATTCTTTTGATATCCTCTTATCCCGTGAACAACCATCTTGTGAAAAAGATATTAGATCGATCTTATTTTATAAAAAATACTATAAATAATCAAGTGTAATAACAAAATTAACTTTCTAGAGGCGGAGTGTGGGATGGGACATACGTGCCAAGTAGAGCTTCCAAATCCTCCTCCTCAACCTGAGAAACAAGATCTTTCTCAACAGTGACTTGTATGTTATTTTGTATCATAATTGATGTAGCCACTCCATCTTCAATAACAGTCTGATTAGTAGTAATGGGTGAATTTTCCTATTCAAATTCATTATCCTCATGGTTAGTTTGTAGTTTTTAGCAAGACATACTGATATCAAAAAGCTCTATGTATTAAGACAATGCTCATGAATAAGTGAACATGTTAATTAGAAATACTAATAATATTACATCTGCCAATATAATTAAAGCAATTCCCACTAATAATATTCATTTTACACATATAAAATCAAATAATTATGATATCTATAATGTCTTAAAAAAGTGAAAATGATGGTTATGAGATGTAGCCTCTGCTGCCCGTCCAATCTAAGTTCCACAGCACCCAATTCATAGCAGCACGCAGGCCAACTTGCATCTAATTAAATTCTGCAATGGATTAAAGGTAGGATAAAGAGGGAGACAAAGAAGATGAATAACAATAGAAAGAGAAGCTAGAATGATAAACAACCGTGAGAGGGAACAAAGGGATATTAGATGTGGCGGGCTGGGAATTTAGTCAATTCTTAGTCAACAGTGTTTGTGAATCACTCTAACAAACGAACTATAAATCTTCTTTCCTTCTTCCCATTGCACTTCCCCTTACACATGATACCAGAGCCCAAATCACAATAAGGAAGCAAATATTATTACTAAAAAAGTCATTAAGCTGTTACAATCAACACAAGGAAATAGAAAACCAATAGACAATACTCAACTAGTTTAGTATCCTAGAGGGAAGGTGGTCTGTTGGCTGTTTGGAAGGCTGGATGGTGGGATGGTGGGATGGTAGCAAGGGGACAACGGTAGCAGCAAAGAAAAAGTAAGAAACTTTCGAAACAGCGAGAAGATGGGTTGTTATGGGTGGCGGCAGCAAGGATGAGGGGAGGCGGTGCAAGGATTGGTTTTTGGCGGCAAAAATAGAAATAAAACTGTCGGGAACGGCTGTTTGGGGAGGCGGCTACAACGGGGAATGCATGAGACGGCAGGATACAAAAAAGACGGTTGCTCCGGGGTGCGGCAGCGTGGAGGATGGCTGCACAACGAGAAATTGCGGGAAGAATAGCAAATGGTTGTCGTCGGGTCGGTCTGTAGCAGGGAGGAATGCGTGGTAGCAAAGCAGGAGAGATGCGGAGGAGTTGGAAAAAGGATAAATACCACCTTGAGAGCCAGATATAGTTGAAACAACACTCAACACTCACCCTTGTATATAGCCCTAGATAGGAATGTAACCCTAAAACATGAAAAGCAATATATAAGCATAGGGCAAATGGGAGTGGACGCCACTCTAGATAGAAGGGAAGTCTCTGTTTGGAAGTATCGGTCAGTCGTTCCCATGCTTAGAACGAACGGTCTAGATGCATCAATTGGCAGGCCCCGTGAGGAGACGAGGTCTCGCTTTCGCTTCATAAATGGGAGACACCCCACGTCAACACATTTCCATCTAATACAAGACCATAACCATTACTAGTTATTCTTCCTCTAACATGACATGTGCGGTAAATCTTAAAAACTTTTAAAATATATAATATGGACATTGTTATCTACCCTCCTTAATAATCGTCAAAATTTTAAGCATATATTAATATCACAGTCTATACAAAAGGTTTGACAGCAACAACAATAATAACAAGCCATCACCCTGTCTGCTGCATGAATCTTTTTTCTCCATTATTGACTACTAAGTGTTATATTTTCATTTAATTCTAATAAATTAAGATCATTTTTTTATATATACCATTTGAAAGGGCAACGCTCCTGCTGATTGGTTGGCAAAAAGGGGCTCTGATACGGTTTCTGTAGGCATTCATCCCCTACCCTTTTAAGAAAATAGTTGCAGGGTGATAAACTGGCATTACTTTATATTAGGATTTAATTGGCTTGCTGTCATGTTTTAGATACTCATCTACCTCCCTGATATTCTTTATTGCTCACCTGCCTCTTATTATGCTTCTATGTTTTTGTTGTATGTTTACACATATATTTGATTGCTGATTCCCCTTCTCTGGATGAGCTGCGGCTGGGTTTGTTTATACTGCGCTTATTTCTGCTACACCGCTCGTTTGGATGTTTTCTGTTACTGTTTTTTTCTGGATAAGAGAATTTCTCTATTTTTGTGGCTGTTTCACATATTTTCTCTGGATGTTATGAGCTGTGGCTAGGTTTGTTTACTCCTACACTGCTCGGTTGGAGGTTTTTCTGTTACCTTTTTCTGTACAGGAGGATTTTTCTGCTTCTTTTGTGGCTGTTTCATAGAGCTCAGCTTTTTCATTCTGGTTTTGGTTTCACTTCAGATGCTACAGAAATATATGGTTCATAGCTACATTTCAATTTTTATGGGTATATTTTTTGTTTATTTTTGGGTATACTTGTATATATCTTTTGGAGTTTTACTTGGGTGGAGCTGTATTGTAGGAGGTGGAACCCCTTTGAGAGAGTTTAATTTGTATTTTTGTTTCTTTTAGTCAAGGGGATCCACCTCCCCCTCCCCCCACAAAAAAATATATATATATATTATTAAAGTCCAAGGGGAAATATATTAATACGGAAAAGATACATAAATGTTCCATGAGAGGGCCTAAAAGAAGCCTAACTCATACAAAACAACACACACAAAATTCAAATAAAGCAAAGATACGTAAAGGAAAAAAATCAAAAGCCACAAAAGGTCACAAAAGTGCTAGGGACATCTCACTTTAGTCCTTTTGTCTCTAGTTCGCGGAAATGAGTCAGTTAACAAATTAGTAAGGTGACTACCATTGCCCGTAGTAACCAAAGTATCATCCATCAAATTCCTGAGCTTAAGTATATTTTCATTTTTCTTCTTCCTCCTGGATGTGTAGACCTGTGTCATTCCTCATCCACCTCATCCAATGATTGACTCATTTGATCAGTAGATTCCAAAGGTGGTCGGATAGTTTTAGGTCGTTGCACATCATGATCCTCATGATCATGAGTAATACTAACATCTTTCTGGACCTGATGAGACAGTAGTGAAACAATAGAAATATTTCCACCTGTATTATCGGTAATAGGTTCTAAGGCAGGCGGGGTCTGAAAAATCTCTCTTTCCCCCACGATAGAAGGTTCCAAAGAAGGGGGAGCTACAAGTGGGGACTGAATGGTTGACATATTGTCTGCGAAGAAAGTGACGTCTTCCAGGGTATCCTTCTGATGATCAATAGTGTCAAAGACTTGGAGCTGATCCGGAGGAAATGGAATCACAGTCTCTAGGGAGCAGTTTGTTTTTTTGGTCTGAGGTGGGGGTGTAGATGATGACAATGAGAACTGGAGTGTCCGAACATACGACAGTTCGAACAATACGGTGGAAAAAGCTCAATCTCTACCTTCTATCAATATTCTTGGTGTTGTGTGCCCAACCAAATTTCCTCAGAAATGAATGTAGTGATGTCTTTTTCAACAAGTACTCTGACTTCAGATAAACGGGAAAGATTAAAAGTAGGAATGTCCGTCTTGAGTGGCTTTCCATAAACTAAGGCAATAGAGTACAATACTTTTGAGAAAAATAATGAAATTTCAGACCAGGGAGGCGAATCCAAACAGAAATGTTTGGTGGTTCCGTCTATGGGTCAAAATTAGCAGACCATTTCAGAATTTTCATTGCTCGTTATCAATCTATATTATCCTTCTAGCAAATAAGCGCAAGTAATTATCTTCATTACTAATTTGAATAAGAATGTGTCTCCTATCTAGTAGTCCAATTTTTCACTCTCCAACAAGGTGCATAAATTCAATTTTTTTGTGAATGAGCTCCATTTTTGAGCTCCATTTTCGAGCTCCATTTTCGGATGACCATATAGAAATTTCTCAACCAAATTCAAACGACAGGAGGAAGCAAGTTAAATACCTTCAGCTTCTGTAAAAAATATAGTAGGCTTCCCATTCTTCCTAACAGGTTTCTTGATGTCCTCCGCCCACTCAAACGAAGGAGGGAAAGATGGACATTTAAATAAGTCTAAGGCGTGGACATCCGCAAGGGCAGCTTCATATGATCTGTCTGAAGCCATCGAAAGCTTTGAAAGAAAGAAGAGAGGACACTGTGAGCACAGAGAAGCCGCAGAGGAGCGCACTCGCAAGAGGGAGCAGCAAAGGGAAGACGTGAGACGTGAGACGAGTCGCAGATCCATAGAGGAACCTCAGAGGAGCCGCAGAGACGCGAGACGCGTCGCAGAGGAGCTGCAGAGTGCGAGACGCGTCTCAAACCCGGAGAAGAAGCGGGGAAGACAAACAAAATCGAGTGCGAGAGCGAAGTCGTAACGTCTCAGAGTCGGAGAAGGAATCAAGCGCAAAGACGAGCGAAGCAGTAACTGTTGCTAGGGTTAGCCATCAGGCGAAACCCTAGCAGAGTCGAGCGGGAAGGAACACGACGCATATATATATATATATATATATATAATTGATGAGTAGTATTTCAAGCCAAAATGAGCCGAACAAAAGCTGTTCGCGAATAACGAGCTGTTTTGAAAGCCCTACCCCCAACTCAGACCAAAAAGGCAAGCTGCTCTGCTAGAGGCTGTGATTTCATCTCCTCCTGATCAGCTCCAAGTTTTTGACATTATTGATCATTAGAAGGATACCTCGAACGACAGCACCATCCCCGCAGGTAATATGACAACCATTCAGTCCCCAATTGTAGCTCCCCAGTCTTTGGAACCTCCTATCGTGAAGGAGAGGGAGTTTCTTCAGACCCCGTCTGCCTCAGAACCTATCACTGATACAGGTAGAAATACTTCTACTGCTTCACTACCGCCTCATCAGGTCCATAAAGATGTTAATATTACTCAAGCTCATAGGAATCACGACGTGCAACGACCTACACATGTCCGACCACCTTTGGAATCTTTGGAATCTACTGATCAAGATGAATCAATCATCGGATGAGGAATGACAGGTCTACACATCCAGGAGGAAGAAAAAGAATGAAGATCTACTTGAGCTCAGGAATCTGATGGATGATACTTTGGTTACTATGGGCAATGGTACTCACCTTACCAATTTGCTATTCGGTTAACTTCCAAGAACTAGAGGCAAGAGGGCTA